TCTTTTTTTTTTTTTTTTTTTTTGTCTTTTTTTGTCTTTTTCCGTGTCCGGCAATGGATCGCAACCCTCGGTGTTGCTCCCGCACCTTGCTCAGCCAGTGAGCGGGAACCGGTCTGTATGTGGGATCCGAACCCTCCGCAGGAGCGCCGCAGCGCTTCCCAAGCGGCGCACTGCTACAGGGCCGGCCCCCAGTTTACTGTCTTGAGAGTTTCCTGGCCATGGTTCAGGGAGGGGGAACCCAGGCAGAGTCTAGCAGACCCTCTGAGTTGAGAAGACAGAGCTGAGAGTCCAGGGGGACCAAGGAGGTCAGAGTTCTAGAGGGGAGACAGCTGCACATGGAGAATTCCAGAGGTCTACAGTGAGTCCCCCTTTATAAGTCAGCTGAGTGCTGAGCAACTCACAGACGAAAGGACAACAACCGAAGGCCAGAGAAAGAAACACCTGAAATGATTAGGGTATGAGTGCCTGGCACTCTCACAGGCCCGGGCACAGTGCTTGCACCCACCAGCCAGCCTGGAAGGCCTCATGATTCATAGTGCATTGGTCTTGTTGCATCTGTGGGGAAAAATTAGCTCTAGGCTGAACATTGTTTTTGTCGCACTTAAAAGCAAAATCCAAAAGGATCAAAGCATTTCCAAATAACTTGACTGCATTCAGTACGAACTTCAAGAGGGGCTGGCTGGTTAGCTCAGCCTTGTAACATCAAGGTTAAGAGTCTGGTTACCCCCATACTGCCCAGCTGCCAAAAAAAGTTTCTTATGCCAGAAAGCTCAAGAATATTTTTAGGAATACCAAAATACAAGAGAAGGAGGAGGAGGGGGAGAAGGAAAGAGGGAGTGCCCAACAAGGTAAAATTCACAATGTCTGACATCCAATCAGCAATAACCAGGCATATAAACAAGCAGGAAAATATTACTAATTAAAAGGAGAAAAATAATCAAAACTAATCCAAAACTGACACAAATGTTAGAATTAGTAGATAAGGATGTTAAAATAGTTATTAAAATGTATTTCGTACGTGTACAAGGTTAAGTAGAGACACGGAAGATATAAAAAAAGACCCAAATAAAACTTCTTGTGATGAAAACTACAATATGTGAGATGAAAAATATACTTGATGAAATTAATGGCAGATTAGACATTATAGAAGAAAAGATTAGTCAACTAGAAGACATAACACTAGAAACTGTCAATTTTTGGTGTCTGACTACATAACTATTTGTTTATTAAAACTCACGAAACTGGGCCAGCCCATGGCTCACTCGGGAGAGTGAGGTGCTGATAACACCAAGGTTGTTATCACGGGTTCGGATCCCATATAGGGATGGCCGGTTAGCTCACTGGGTGGACATGGTGCTGACAACACCAAGTCAAAGGGTTAAGATCCCCTTACTGGTCGTCTTTATATGGGATTAAAAAAAAAAAAAAAAAAAAAAAATCATGAAACTGTCACTGAAAAGAATGAATTTTACTAACGTAAGTTATACCTTGATAAACCTCACAGAAAAAAAAAAAAACTGTTTGGAATATGTCAGGAATTTACTTCAAAATAATACATGAGGCAGGGAAAATGGGTGGGGATAAGATGAAACAATATTTGTTATGAGCAGTAGGTGTTGAAACTGACTGCTGCATGCTATTCTCTCTACATATGAATGTGTCTAAAGTGTTAAAAAATATATATTTTAGGTTGGATTTTTAGGCTCACTAGAATGTAAGTCCCATGGGCGCAGGAGTTTCTGTCTTGTTTTGTTAGTTGCTTTATCTCCAATGCCTAGAACAGTGACTGACACATAGTAGATGCCCGATAAATTTTTTTTCAATAACCATTTTTAAAATAGATAAATGAGTGATTGCTCCTTTTCAGTTTGCAACTCCAGTATGAGAGCTTGGAAACTACTACCTGAAGACAGAAACCAACCTTCCCGCACTCCAGTGTCCCCTCCCCACCCAGTGTCTGGGTGTCTCACTTGCAATGCAATAAATGATTTCTTGAGTTGACTACACCACAGCCCACCACTGAGCTTTGGGAACTTCTGACTAATTAATTAATAGAGCACTGGCTTAGGAGTCAGACATAAGGACTTTAATTCAAAGTGGGTGATTAATTAGCCAAGAATCTTGGGTAGGTCACGCCCCTTTCAGTCCTTGATTAAGAACTGCAAATACTCTTCTGTGTGCTTATGTGCATTTTCCCCACTAAAAGTTCTCAAAGGGGGTCTATGAACCCCAAAAGTTGAGAACCTCTTCAGGAAATGATCTTTAAAATTCATTCCTTCAATAGATATTTACTGATGGCCTACTATGCACCAAACTCCTGGGGACCCAATGATGACTAAAACATAGACAAGCTCACTGAGATCTCATGGAGACTATATACTCGGGAAGGGAAACAACCGACCAGCAAGGGAACAAACAATTTCACTTAATGGTAACTTGTGTGAAGGAAATAAAACAGGTGATATATGAGCGACTGGGGAGAGGTGTAGACCTCCGGGTGTTCAGGGAGGGTCTTTCTTCACAGGTGGTATTATTAATTGAATTGTGTCCCCTGGAGAGACATGTCAATGTTCAAACACCTGTACCTCAGAACATGATCTTATTTGGAAATAGGGTGTTTGCAGAGGTAATTAGTGGAGATGAGGTCACAGTAGAATAGGGTGTCTTTATAAGAGGAGAAAAACACAGGGAAGAAGGCCATGTGACAACAGGGCAGAGATTGGCGTGATGCCGCTGCAAGCCAAGGAATGCCAGGAATTGAGGGCCACCACCATAAGCTGTGAAGAGGCAAGGAAAGATTCTCCCCAGACTCTGAGGGAGCACGGTCCTGCTGACACCTTGATTTCAGACTTCTAGCCTCCAGAGCTGTGAGAATACATTTCTATTGTTTAAGCCACCCAGTTTATGGTTACTGCCGCCCTAGAAAACTAACACGGGTGTCATTTGAACTGAGGCTTGAATGATGAAAAAAAGGCAATCATACGAAGATTTAGACAGAAGAATGTTCTGTGTAGGTCAGAAAGAGAAAAAACAATGGCTGGAGAGTATGAATCCAGGCCAACCAGATAGGAGATGTGACTGGAAAGCCAGGCAGAGGGAGATCTTGTAGGACTTTGTAGGGGAGGGGAAGGAAATGGATTCAATTAGGTTTGAGGTGGCTGTGTCATTCGAGTGACAGAAACAGCTGTCAAGAGAGTCACCCAGAGTCTTAGAGGGCAAGAATTTAGGTTGTATTCGTTGCAGTAAATAATAATGACAACGTGAGATGACAGGGCCCTCTCTGTGCTTCCCCGCCCTGCCCCCGACCTTGCTGGATGGTCAATGTCAGCTTTAGCATTCCAGCTCCTTGGCTCTGGCTCAGGTGAGGCAGTGTTAAGGGGTGGGTGAGTTTTCACCTCCCCCAATTTTCCTTTCTCCCCCTTCATACCCCCAAACCCCACAATCTAAGTAAAATGAGCTCTGCAAATGCATCTTGCAAGCAAGCTCCCCAGCCCTTCCAAGAACAGAGAGATTCCGGAGGCACACAGGACCTACTGAGAGGGAAGTGGCAGACCCCGCCGATACCTGCAGAGCGGTACAATCCCGGGCGCGGGGGCGGAGCCTGGAGGCGCGTGCGCATGCGCGGGCCCCGCCTCCCGGGCGAGTTGGGTGGAGCGGGCGCCGGGGCGGAGGCCGTGACGTCAGGTGCGCGCGTGGCTCCGGCTGCGCAGGAACAGCTGGTGCCTCGGAAGGCGGCCGGCGAGCGGACGGGCGTGGGGTGCTGGTGGCCGGCTGGGCCACGCTGCAGGAACAGCCGCCGCCGCCTCCGCCTTGCACCATTGCACCATGTCCGGGCAGCTGGAGCGTTGCGAGAGCGAGTGGCACGAGCTGGAGGGAGAATTTCAAGAACTGCAGGTAGGGCCGGGCCACCTGGTCCTGCAACTCTGCTACCTGCGGTGCATTGCCTTCCCCTTCCTGCTGGCCCGGGCGGTGGGTATGATCAAGGGGGTGCTCCTGGCCAGGCCATGGGGGCAGGCGATCGGCGTGGACCAGCCTCCTACCATCTCCCAGCGCTTCAGTTCATCCACGTGGGCCGCCCGGTCGAAGCCCCCTTTCTCCCGCCCTCGCACTGGCTCTTTGCTGCGCGCACCTCCTTTTCTGCAGAAAGTTGATCTGTGGCCTCTAAGGGCAAGTTCCAGGCGTGTCCATGTGGGGGCTGGTTGGTGCTGGGGCTCATCTGGGACAGCCCAGCCCCCATCTCCGCAGGGGTCTTCCCTGACCCTCCCCCACCCATCTGCTTTTGGCAGCTCTACTCCCCCTCTACTCTGGCAGGGCAGTCTTCTTCTGCAGCTCCGTTTTGGGATATGTGCTTAGGAGCCGTTCACCTTGAACCCCTAAGCTGTACTTGGGGATAAGGGACTCCTATCCCTATCGTTGGGGACTCTGGTGTCCACTGCCTCTCTGGCACTGCTGCAGGCTGAGCTTGGCTTTGTGGATGTCATCTGTCATTTCTGACAGAGTTGCCTCACCCGGTGATAGAGGCTGCTCCCAGCTCTCACCCTTTGTCCCAGAGCCTTACACGGGAGTGAGGGTGGGGGTAAGAGAGATCCCTTGAGAGAATGGCATTGCCGCTGGGGTCCTGGCAGGAGTAGTTGTTGCTGACAGGAGGTTCAGAGAGGCCCTCAGCTACCTACTCTGGTGACCAGAGACGTGTCAGGAAAACTTGGGATTGACCAAGAGAGACGCAGGGATCATTTTTGGAGTGGGGCTGTCCCCTCTCTAGCTGCAGGATTGTGCTTGTTTTCTTGGGGTTTGGACTCTGTTTGCCTGAAGTCACATTGCACACTCCCCCCTCCCTTCTGTCCTCAGTTGGAGCAGTGACATTTTCCCCGTCCATGTAGCTCTTGTCTGCAGTTGGGTTGGCCTCCCACAGTGTCCGGAGGAGGGAAGAGGAGGCTGCCAACAGTGTCTACGATAAGTCTTTCTATGCACAAGGCTGCAGGTCCCCATGCATAGACAGAGGGGTGCTGGAGAGACTGAGCAGGGAGCGAGTGCTGTCTCAGGAATGGGCAGAGGGTAATGTACTCAGACCTGTCATACCTTCCTCAGCCTGTCCAGTATGTGTCGGTGGTGCCCTCTCCTTCAGGTCTAGGGCTTGGATCTTACCCAAGTTCCCAGCGGACCCTTCTGGCTCCACTGTTGTGGAGAAGACTCAGCCATTTCTTCACGTTCTGTCCCTCTGGGCTCTGAGGTCATGTCTAGCCGTGGAGCCACAGAATGGGTATTAGGGTCAGGAGTGGGAGAAGAGAAGAGGTTTGCTGTATGGAGCTTTTGTTGGTCATAATTCCTTTCCCCTGCCCTACCTTAGACTAGGAGAGGGAGAGGAGGAGGAGTCTTAACACTTCAGAGCTATGCAATTAATGCAATTAACAGCAATTAGATGGCAAGTCTTGGCAGGCAGAGTTGCAAAGGATTCATTTGATTTATTGTTATGTTCTTCTTTGGTGTCTTGGATATTCAGGTGTGTTAGGGACAGAGGAATTGGGAATAAATTCTGGGTTTCATCCCCTGGTACAGAACAAGAGTTGTGAGGAACTGACTGAGTGGAAACTGTGGTATCTCCTAAGGAGCTCAGTTTTTTGGAGATTGGGGAACCAGAATGGACTGGATCCTACTTTGGGGAAGAGGAACCTTGCTGGCTACAGGTATTGGTGGTCAGCTGCTAGGTCAGAGCCCAGTGGTGAAGGCCTCTAGGGACCAGGTCATTGACTGGAGCAAAATTACCATCTACATCTTCAATTCACAGATGAAGACACTGAAGCTTGGACATGCTAACTGACGGAGCTGGGGTCACACAGCTGTCTAGTGGTAAAATTGGGGCCAGAACTTAGCTCTCTAAGTGTTGGGAGGCCCCTTTCTGTAAAAGTCTCTGCAAATATGCATATAATAAATAGAGTGTGCATTATGTATGTGCTGGACAGTTTCAGACATGAGGTTTTGTTGGGGAACAAGGAGGTAAAGTAGGTGGTCAGGCGGGCAGACTGGAACTAGCAAGGTTAACAATAGGAAGGATTTTTTTTTTAAGCCAGAAAATCCTGGTCTATCTTAATTTTCCTACATCTTCCTTAGAATCTGAGATTTCTGGGTTTTATGTTTGTGTCTCTCTGATTCTGGGGTGTTGTATAATGTCTCTGTGTTTTACTCCTTTTTCTCTTTTTTAAATGAAGGAAAGAAAGAGGAAACCTAATTCTCAGATCCTAGAGGACCTGAAAGGTCTTTGGAATCCCCCCCTTTACTCCAAAAACAACCAATATAATCTCTGGGACTTTGTATGGGAAAGGATCAGTTTTCTTTGGACTGTGATTTGCTTCTGTCAGACCTTACTGGACTCTGGGGCACAGTTGAGTCTCCCTGAGCACTTAGGTTTTGGGTGGATGGGTTTTCGGCCATGTTGATGAATTGAGCGTCAGTGTGAGACCAGCACGTGCCTGGTCCCTGGTCTGTGGTGAGACCACAGAAGGTCACTTACAGACATGGTGGCAGGTGATTTAATAAGTATTTCCTGTCCTGCATCACGTCAGTGTGAGACCAGCACGTGCCTGGTCCCTGGTCTGTGGTGAGACAACAGAAGGTCACTTACAGACATGGTGGCAGGTGATTTAATAAGTATTTCCTGTCCTGCATCAGTGGAAACCTGACCCTGTCCCTCCCAGCCCAGGAAGGAAGTGGCCTGAAGCTGCATTTTTCTAAGCTGAACCTCTCAGGGGTGCACGGGCCTTGTAGGCCATTGTAAAGAGTTTTGGCTTTTACTGCCAATGAAATGGGCATCCTTCTGGCTGCTGTATATAGAGGAGACATCAGGGAGATTAACTAGAAGCAGGAAGATCAGTATTATTTCATTCGAACCCTATGAAATTGATCTCGTTATCCCCGTTTTACAGAGGTTAAGACATTTACCCACGGTCACATGGCTTATAACTGCTGGAGCCAAGATTTGAACCCAGGCTGTTCAACACCAGAGTCTATGCTTTTAACCATAATCCAAGGCAGATCTGTGTCCCAAGAGTTCTTTTGTTGGCTTTTGTTTCTCTTCCATCTTGGGTTGCCTTGTGGGCCTCTTTCTTTAGAAGCAGGTTATGCAGAAAGAGCACTGGACAGGGAGTCAGGATTCCTGGGTTCACATCCTAGCTCTGCCATTGTCTAGTATCGGACCCTTGGCAAGCCACCTTTCTGAGCTTGAGTTTCTTTATCTCTAAAACAAAGGCTGACAATAATGATAACAAAAACAATAACAATAACAGCTAACTATGTGATACATGGATTATCTGTTTAATCTGTTTTTATTTTAATTGAAACAGTTGATTGTACATATCTGTGGGATACAGAGTTGAATATTAATATCTGTGTAAAATATGTGATGCTCAAATCAGGATAATTAGTATATTCAATGTTATACAATGTAATTACTTTTTGTGGCCCTTTACCAATTCTCCCTTGCTCCCTCCTCCCCATTTCCCACCTCTGGGAATGACAATCTTGTTTTATAGATGAGGAGACTAAAGCCAAGAGTTGTTAAGTAACTTGAAAGCCACAGAGCCAAAATTTGAACCCAGACTTGCTTTATACTTATTGCGTTCCTGACACAGTAGGTTCCAAAAGTATCCTGAGACCCTTAGCTCTAGAAGAGAATTTATGAGCTTGCTGTGTCTCTTTTCATTCATGTAGTGCTTTCACACAATGCATTAGTTGGGATTCTTAGTTACAAGTGACAGAAACCAAGTTTGACTGGTTTTAAGCCAAAAAGGGGGTTTATTGGCTCAAGTCCAGTGGCAAATGGCTTCAGGCAAGGCTGGATCCAGGGGCTCAAATGATGTCTGTGTGCGTATGTCTCTCTCTGTTTCCTCTGTGTCGGCTTCATTCTTAGGCAGACTCTCCCATGTTGTGGCAAAGATGGCTACTGGCAGCCCCCAGCTGACATCTACCAATTTAGCAAACCTGGCTGAGACAGAGCATCTTTCCCCACCTGTAGTTCTAGCAAGAGTCTCAGGGCTGACTCTCATTGGCCCAGCTTGGCACATGTGATTATCCCTTACTTAACCAGTTACTAGCACTGATTGGCCAGACCTTGGTCACATGTTTGCCCTGGGAGTGGGATCAGTACTACCCACATTACATGGAGTAAGAGTTGGGGAGAGTAGTCCCATGAAGGAAAATTAAAATACTGGTAGTAGAAAAAAAACAGGGATCTTTTGCAGGGAGTAATAGAAATTATTTATATTTGTGATTCACAAATGATGTGCCAAGGCATCCCCAAGGACCTTCAGGAATCTCACAGATGCACTGTGAGATCATTTAAAATTTCAAAACAAACATAGTGACATACATCAGACACCACTTAAATTGCTAACTCGGGGACAGTTCACAGTTGCACATTAGACCACACTATATTCTTTTTGATGAGGTCATATATTTGTAACAGTACATGGCCTATTGCACCTACCTCATCTCCTAGCCCTTTCACAGCTGAGGAAACTGAGGCACAGAGAGATTACATAACTCAACTAGTAAGTGCCAAACTCGTTTTGAACTCAGGTAGTGTGACTGAAGAACCTAATCACTGAACCATTGTATTATGCTGCGTCCCAAATACCTGACACCTATGTGTATATCTCCACCTCCTGCTCCTGTAACAGACATCACTAATAGATCCTGGCATGTGACTCAAAATTGATATGCTTTAGGTGAAGTCAACTTACCAACCTTGGTAGTGTTTCTATGGTGATGAGTCCTACTTAAGTATACACAGCATCTGAAAAGCTACTCGAAGTCAATTTCTTAGAAAGATAGCTCTAGAAAAGTAATCTCTTGAAAATTAACCACCAGTGAGAGGCACAGCTATCAGGTACCACACTTTG